GCTCTGAATTTCAATGTTAATTTATTGAGAATCAGAACCATTGCAACCTTCATAAATATTCTAGTTGAAAAAATAGTTCAACCAAAAGTTGTAAATGTTCGTGCAGTTAACAGTCATTTGTAAATCTACCGCTAATCTGATAAAAGACTAAGTTGTTTTGTGAGGCTTCTCGGCTACACCCTGTGGCGTGTGTTTGTATTCTCAGGGGGACAAAATATGTATTAAAAACCCGTACAGCCAAGACAATTCCGTCATTCAAAAATCTCATTCAAAGAATAGTAAAATCGAGAATAAAGGTAGTATAGTAGTGAACTCCTAGAGAAAGCATGGTTTGAATCCGTTTTTCTATGTAGATATGACGATATCGTCTTCAACTTTTATTATCCCACCAATCAAATTGTTGTTGCGAATTTGAAATATTTGATTAAAAGATAAATCAGTAAATTTTAAATCGAAATTGATGTTTGAGATTTGTTATTTACACTGAATAAAAAACATGTTTGGACTATATAGAATATGGTTTTGTATTTTAACAATTTTTGTATGGAAATCGCTGTGTCGTACGAGTGAATCGAACTGGCTAAAATTTACTTACATTGGACCTGTGACATTTTATTATCATAGATTGATACTAAATTCTGTGTTAGGCCGATGTGCATTAACTTGTCCATCTCTCTACAACTGGGATCATATTTATTTTCAAGGAGGGGATTGTTATTGTTTAGCACCAGTTTATGTCAAATCCAGCCTGGTTTCTGGAACGGTTACGACCAATAGAGAATTTTGGACGATTCGTCAAGGTATGTTGAATTATTTCATGTGGATTTTTATGGTCCGTTTTGCTTCTTATGGTAATGGACAAGATAATCCCCATTATTATTCTTCAAACTATTAACCGTATCCTCTTGAATCTTGTTCCAAAACTTTAATGAATTCGATCATCACTATGATAAGTAGGCCTGATATAATCAATCTTCTGGACACTTTGACTAGCGCACTGGGACTGGGACTAGATTTGTCAATTAGACACATCTTGGGAGTCGCATAGCATAGGTTAAGTTGAAAAATCGTATTCTAAAAACATAAAGTCGAAAATGCAGCCGCCGACATAATTTTAACCCACAATGCTAATGAGATGCTAAATCGTAACCAAGAGATGCTAAATCGTAACCAAGAGAAACTAAGTCGTGTCCACAAGTTCCTAAGTCGTGTCCACGAGATACTAAGTCGTGTCCACGAGATACTAAGTCGCAACCAGAGTTGCTAAATGATAAATGATGCAAGATAAATGATAAAAGAATATGATATATAATAAATTGTAAATGATAAATGACACGTGATATAATTATATTATCTTTTCAGATGTCAGCTATTGTACCGAGAGGGGATACACGATATTTTCAGACCAGGGATATTGTTTAAAATATTTTTCACGAACATCAACTTGGCATAACGCTGAATCAACTTGTCGACAAGATGGTGGTCATTTAGTTTCACTTTATACTCAACAAGATTTAACTAATTTGAGATCACTGTATACAAGTAAGTAAATCAGATGAAGAAACGAAACTGTGGTAAAAAAAAAAGAAAAATTTTTTATTTACAATGTTCCCGTATACTAGCTGGTCGTTGTCTATATCAAATCAAAGCATTAATCTTTCCTTGGATATCTGTACTCACAAGACTGAAATAATTAATTTTCATGTTTTGTTGAGCAGCAATCGTAGAAGAGATTCGTCATTGTTGCAGAATTGTCATTAAACCACGATACAAAATAATTATTGCAATTCTGTGAAATAATAATAAAATTGGATAATGCCCAATTATAAACCATACAGGATGTGATAATTTGGTAATAGTTAAAA